CACAGAATTGTTACTGAGGGCCACAGAATTGTTACTCAGGGCCACAGAATTGTTACTGAGGGCCACAGAATTGTTACTGAGGGCCACAGAATTGTTACTCAGGGGGCCACAGAATTGTTACTGAGGGACCACAGAATTGTTACTGAGGGCCACAGAATTGTTACTGAGGGCCACAGAACTGAGGGCCACAGAATTACTTAGGGCCACAGAATTGTTACTGAGGGACACACAGAATTGTTACTGAGGGCCACAGAATTGTTACTTAGGGCCACAGAAACGTTACTTAGGGCCACAGAATTGTTACTCAGGGACAGACACAGAATTGTTACTGAGGGCCACAGAATTGTTACTTAGGGCCACAGAAACGTTACTTAGGGCCACAGAATTGTTACTCAGGGACAGAATTGTTACTGAGGGCACAGAATTGTTACTGAGGGCCACAGAAATTGTTACTTAGGGCCAGAACAAATTGTTACTGAGGGCCACAGAAGAATTGTTACTGAGGGCCACAGAATTGTTACTGAGGGCCACAGAATTGTTACTGAGGGCCACAGAACCGTTACTTAGGGCCACAGAATTGTTACTCAGGGACAGACAGAATTGTTACTGAGGGCCACAGAATTGTTACTGAGGGCCATTGTTACTTAGGGCCACAGAATTGTTACTCAGGGACAGACACAGAATTGTTACTGAGGGCCACAGAACCGTTACTTAGGGCCACAGAATTGTTACTCAGGGACAGACAGAATTGTTACTGAGGGACACAGAATTGTTACTGAGGGCCACAGAATTGTTACTGAGGGACACAGAATTGTTACTCAGGGACAGACACAGAATTGTTACTGAGGGACACACAGAATTGTTACTGAGGGCCACAGAATTGTTACTGAGGGACACAGAATTGTTGTTACTCAGGGACACAGAATTGTTACTGAGGGACACAGAATTGTTACTGAGGGCCACAGAATTGTTACTGAGGGCCACAACCGTTACTGAGGGGCCACAGAATTGTTACTTAGGGCCACAGAATTGTTACTGAGGGCCACAGAATTGTTACTGAGGGCCACAGAATTGTTACTGAGGGACCACAGAATTGTTACTGAGGGCCACAGAATTGTTACTCGGGACACAGAATTGTTACTCGGGGACACAGAATTGTTACTCAGGGACAGACACAGAATTGTTACTCGGAGGACACAGAATTGTTACTGAGGGCCACAGAACCGTTACTTAGGGCCACAGAATTGTTACTCAGGGACACAGAATTGTTACTGAGGGCCACAGAATTGTTACTGAGGGCCACAGAATTGTTACTCAGGGACAGACACAGAATTGTTACTCAGGGACAGACACAGAATTGTTACTACTCAACCGTTACTTAGGGCCACAGAATTGTTACTCAGGGACAGACACAGAATTGTTACTCAGGGACACAGAATTGTTACTCAGGGACACAGAATCGTTGAATTAAAGAGTATGTCAGACAACATGCAGAGGAGTGGCAGAGGAGGCAATGTTTTAGGAGCGAGCAGACGTGGCAGCAGAGGAAGGGGTCGAGGCAGCACTATTCGCAGCCAGAGGCCAGTGCTCCCGGTGTCATCCAGCGGTCGTGTCTCCACCGACAACCCTGCCGTCATCGATTGGTTGGCTCGGTCGTCTTCCTCTTCCCAGGTCACCTCTGACACCTACAGCCAACGGTCGGTGGGTACGTCAGACACAACCGTTAGTTGGCATGGCCCGGGACCAAGCCCACTGAAATCACGTGTCCTCTACCTGCCCCTGTCCTTTGGTGTTCCCTCACCAAGCGAAGTATCGCATGCTGTGGGCTCAGCCCCACTGTACAGTGAGGAAGAGCTAACAGAGGGCGGTCAGGAACGGGGGGAGACATCCGCCTTTTCAGCAGCCAGGCGAAGAAGTAGTGGCGAGGAGAGTGGCTCGGTAGCCGGTCTAGAGACAGGTCTGTCTCCTGACCCAGACGCAGCCGAGGGGGCTAGTAGTGAGGCGGAGACCCTACTTGATGATGAGGAGGTTGATCGCACTTGGCAGCCTCGTCGTCATCAGGCAATTTCTTCCGCATCATCAGGAGAAGAGGGTGGCAGCTTGGCAGCGAGCGAAACAGTCGGTGGGTTGCCCAGGAGGCAGCAGGGTCGCAGCAGCAGCAGTGTCAGTGGAGCCAAACGGCCACGGAGTAGTAGCACCAGCTCCACTGCAGCCTACCACCACGGCCAGTAGTGGTGCCGGTGTGCACGGAGGAAGCAGCAGTCAGCCAGTGAGGAGTATCGGGGGCAAAGTTTCCTACTCGGCGGTGTGGCAATTTTTTGTCAAGCCGCCCGAGGAAGTAAACGTAGCCGTATGTCGACTATGTGGCCAGAAAGTCAAGCGTGGCCAGGGGGCCCATGTTGGGACTACAGCGTTGCGGCAGCATATGCAGCGTCGCCATTTGGTGGCCTGGGAAAACCGTGATAAAGATACGGCGGTTCTGCCCGCCCCAGCCCCCGCTCCATCACCCGCTCCGTTACTTGCTCCGTCACCCGACGTCAATCGCCCTCCATCAGCCAGTCAAGGCTCCAACACCTCTGCTGAGGGGAGTTGTCGCTCGTTGGCATCTTCCGCTCGTTCAGATGCTCCTTCTCCTGCTACTCCTCTTCACGGATTCCGTCAGCAGTCTTTCTTGGAATCCGTTTCCAAGAGACAACAGTTTGCGAGCACGCACCCGACGGTGCAAAAGCTGAACGTCCTCCTGTCCAAAGTTGCTGGTGCTGCAGTCCCTCCTTTCCAAGTGGTGGACTCAGCACCTTTCCGAGAAATGATGGCTTGTGCCGCGCCGCGGTGGAGAGTGCCAAGCCGTCATTTCTTCGCCAAAAAGGCAGTGCCAGCCCTGCATTCACATGTAGAAGAGATGGTGGGCCAGTCTTTGAGCATGTCGGTCTCTGCCAAAGTGCACGGCAGCGCCGACGTGTGGAGCTGTAACTACGGTCAGGGACAGTACATGTCATTTACGGCCCACTGGGTGAACGTGGTGCCGTCACAGCCGCACCAGCAACTTGGACAGGTCACGCCGCTTTTGCCTCCACGTTTGCACGTCCTTGGTCCACAAAAGATGTCCGCCTCTACCACCTCTTCTTCCGCCGTGTCCTCAGCCGCCACCCCCGTGCCAAGTCCCATTACCCGACCGGCATATCACATGTGCAGGGCGCAACGGTGTCACGCTGTGCTGCACCTGGTATGCCTTGGCGAACGTAGTCACACAGGGGAGGAACTTCTGAGTGTAATGAACAGAGAAATCGACAGATGGCTGTCTCCGCGCAAACTGAAAATCGGAACCATGTTGACCGACAACGGAAAGAACATGGTGTCTGCTCTGCGTCAAGGAAGGTTGTGCCATGCGCCATGCATGGCTCACGTGTTCAATCTGGTTGTCAAGCGGTTCCTAAAATCCACCATCCCACTGCAAGACATCCTTAAAATGTCACGTAAACTTTGCATGCATTTCAGCCATTCCTACACCGCAAAGCACACCCTCATTGAGCTGCAGCGGCAGAACGGAATTCCACATCATCGCCTGATCTGCGACGTTGCAACAAGGTGGAATTCAACCCTACACATGTTAGACCGCCTTTACGAACAGCGAAAGGCCATCACCGATTTCCTGATGTTACAAGCGGATAAAGGTACTCCCCTGTGTAACTTCGATGTCAGCCATTGGCAGCTCATGCGTGACACCTGCCGCTTGCTCAGGCCCTTTGAGGAGGCCACGCTATTCGTGAGTCGGCAGGACTATGGGATGAACGACGTCATTCCTCTGTTGCACGTCCTGGAACAAATGCTGTTAACAATGGCTGGTCAGGGTGCGGTAGACGTGGCGCACAGATCTCAACGCCACATGACCCCTGTGGGGGCAGGACAGGAAGAAGAGGAGGAGGTAGAGGAGGACATTTGTGCTCAGGAATTATTGAGTGAAATGGGTGGTTTTTCCACTCAGCGGACAGGAGTGGAGGAGCAGGAGCATCTGGTAGAGGAGGAGGAGGAGGAGACAGAGGACCCAGACGCACCGTGGCAGTATGCTGTGGAGATGGAGGCAGGGAGTCCCTCGCATTCCTTGGCACAAATGGCCCATAGCATGCTCGGTTGCTTGCGTAGCGACAGCCGAATAATAACCATCAGACAGAGGGATGACTTTTGGCTGTCCACCTTGTTGGACCCTCGCTACCGTTCAAAAATGGTGGCCTTTTTCACACCTGCTGAGAGGGAGGCCAAAATAACGTACTATAAAAACCACCTATGTAGTCAGTTGGTCTCTGCCTTTGTGCGCCAACGTCCATCCTCAGACACTGTGGGCCCTGTGCGCTCGCGTTCCGCTGCCATGGCAGCAGGGGAGGGGTGGGGTGGTAGGAGCAGTGGCAGCTCCACCAGCAGCGGCTGCCTCAGTCTGCAGTCGATGATGAGTAGCTTTCTTCACCAGCGCAGTGAGGAAACTACTAACCAGCCGCAGCAGCAGCAGCAGCAGCAGCAGCATCAGGTGGACCTGGAGCAGGACCTCAAACAACAGGCTTGGGCCTACTTGGACAGCACCCTGCCAACCGAGGTAGACAATCCCCTTGACTACTGGGCAACGAAAACTTGACCTTTGGCCCCACTAGCTGAATTTGCCCTTGAAAGGCTGTCATGCCCGGCCAGTAGCGTGGCATCGGAGCGCGTGTTTAGTGCTGGCAGGAGGTATTGTAACTCCGCGGAGGACACGACTGTCCACCCAAAGTGTGGAGAGACTCACGTTTGTGAAAATGAATCAGGCGTGGATTAGTCTGGATTTCAAACCACCAGTTCCTGACACAACTGACTAAATCCGCCATGAATCATGCCTCAAACATGTGCCACTTTCAGGTCTCCTCACACACTGCTGGTGTGTTCCATTTTTTGTCATAGGGTGCTGGCAGATTATACGGGCCTCCCATAGCTGCTGCCAGGCCCCTAATCTGCCATGGGCCCCCTATACCGCCTCCTCATGCTGCTGCCAAGTCCAGAGTCTCTCATGGGTCCCTGTACGGCCTCCCATTGCTGCTGTCTCCATCGCCACACTCTGCCATGTGCCACTTTCAGGTCTCCTCACACACTGCTGGTGTGTTGAATTTTTTGACATAGGGTGCTGGCAGATTACGGGCCTCCCATAGCTGCTGCCAGGCCCCTAATCTGCCATGGGCCCCTTATATACCGCCTCCTCATGCTGCTGCCAGGTCCAGAGTCTCTCATGGGTCCCTGTACGTCCCATTGCTGCTGTCTCCATCGCCACACTCTGCCATGTGCCACTTTCAGGTCTCCTCACACACTGCTGGTGTGTTCCATTTTTTGACATAGGGTGCTGGCAGATTACGGGCCTCCTATAGCTGCTGCCAGGCCCCTAATCTGCCATGGCCCCTATTACCGCCTCCTCATGCTGCTGCCAGGTCCAGAGTGTCTCTCATGTGTCCCTGTACGGCTCCCACACTGCTGTCTCCATCGCCAATTCTGCCATTGCCACTTTCAGGTCTCCTCACACTGCTGGTGGTGTTCCATTTTTTGACATAGGGTGTGGCAGATTACGGGCCTCCCATAGCTGCTGCCAGGCCCCTAATCTGCCATAGGGTGATAGGCCCCTATAGTAATACCGCCTCCTCATGCTGCTGCCAAGGTCCAGAGTCTCTCATGGGTCCCTGTACGGCCTCCCATTGCTGCTGTCTCCATCGCCACACTCTGCCATGTGCCACTTTCAGGTCTCCTCACACTGCTGGTGTGTTGAATTTTTTGACATAGGGTGCTGGCAGATTACGGGCCTCCCATAGCTGCTGCCAGGCCCGCTAATCTGCCATGGGCCCCTATACCGCCTCCTCATGCTGCTAGCCAAGTCCAGAGTCTGTCATGGGGTCCCTGTACGGCCTCCCATTGCTGTGTCTCCATCGCCACACACTCTCCTGCCATGTGCCACTTTCAGGTCTCCTCACACTGCTGGTGTGTTGAATTTTTTGACATTAGGGTGCTGGCAGATTACGGCCTCCCATAGCTATGCTGCCAACATCCCCTAATCTGCCATGGGATGGAGGCCCATATACCCGACTGCTCATGCTGCTGTGGGTTCCAGAGTCTGTCATGAGGTCCCCCCTGTAACGCCTCCCATGCTGCTGTCCCATCGCACACTCTCCATGTCCAACTTTCAGCGCTCATCCTCACTCACTGCTGGGGTGGGGAGCAGGAGTTTGACATAGGGTGCTGGCAGATTACGGCCTCCCATTTGCTGCTGCCTCCATCGCCCACGTAACTCTGCCATGGCCACTTTGCCTCAGGTCCCCTCCGGACACATGCTGTGAGACGTTGCAATTTGTTCAAGGTGGAATTAGAACCCTACCCATATGTTAGACCGCCCTTTACAGAACACAAAAAGGCCATGCTGCTGCAGATTTCCTGATGTGTAAAAGCCCTCAGATACGGTACTCCCTATTAGTGCTAACTTTAGATGCCAGCCATTGGCCAAACGTCATGCCGTGACACCTATCCACTTGCTCAGGCCCTTTGCTGGAGGTCCCACGCTATTCGTGGAGTGGCAGGACTATGGGATGAACGCCTCCCATTTTGCTCTGCCTGCCATCGCCGTCCTGGAATATCTGCCAATGGCCCGTAACGCCTCCTCATGTTTAGAACTCCAGGGTCCAGAGTCTTGTCTCATGGCATGCACCTCTGCAAACCCTCATGACCTGCTGGGGCTCGCCATCGCCCAAGAGTCTGCCATTAGAGGAGACATTCACAAGTGCCTCACAGCTGCTTCGCCATCCAGAGTGGATTTAGTGGTGGCCAAGTTAACCACCCAGTTGCTGACACAACTGTGCTCTGGCCAGGCCGCCATTTCGATCTGCCCCATGGGTGACCACTTTAGAGACTGCTGAGTTGTGCTGCGCCCAGACGTCACCGAGGCGTGTATGGCTGTGAGATGGACGGGCAGAAGTCCCTTATTGCTGCTGCCAGGCCCCCTAATCTGCCATGGGGGCCCTATACCATGCTCCTCATGTGCTCATAGACCACAGCCGGTCTCATCATGTGCCACTTTTAGTCCCTCACACACTGCTGGGGGTGAATTTTGTGCATAAGGGTGCTGGCAGATTATGGGCCTCTGCATACATGTGCCAGGCCCTAGTTGCCATGGCCCCCTGCACCGACTCACCCACTGCTCTGGTGTGTTCCAATCTTACCAACAATGAGCTCCCAGGTCCTAGAGTAGTCATGGTCATGCTTATAACGGGCCTCCCTCCCATTTGCTGCTCATCCCATCCCTACATCTGGGCCATGTGGCCCTTTATACAGGTCGCCCACAGGAGTTCTGCCTGCCCATGGCCGGGTGTGGTAGTTTTTTGACGATAGGTATGCTGGCTCAGGACCGTTCCTACCATACTGGCCTTCCCCCATACTGCATCGCTGCCTCAATCGTGCACACTCTGCCATGTCCCATAATCTGTCATGGGTCCCTTACGCCCACGGCTGCAGTGTGCTCCAATCGCCACATTCTGCCAGGTGCCCTTCGCCTCACTCACTCTGTAGGCTAAATTTTGATGCTACTTGCAGCAGGACATACGAGTAGTGGGTTGGGCCCCCTATTACGCGGGCCCCTAGCATACCTAAGCCTCCTCATAGCTGCTGATCTGCCAAGTCCAGAGTCCACTCTCTGGGATCACTGTACGCCTCTCGTAGATTGCTCTTGTCCTCCTCCTAAACTCTCTGCTATGTGCCAACTTGCCATGGCCACTTATCAATCACCAGTAGCACGCAATCTCGGTGCGAAATTTTTATGACATAGGGGGCCTGCAGATTCACGGCGGCCTCCATTAGCTGCTGCCATGGCCCCTTAATCTGCCAATGGGCCCCTATACCTACTCCGCCTCTTGCGCGGCTGAAGTGCCAGGTCCAGGAGTGCTCTCATAGGGTCCCTGGATTCGGCCATCCCATTCCTTACTGCTGTCTCCATCCGCCACATCTCTGCCATAGAGGTCCACTTTCAGTCTCCCTCAGCACACTGCTGGAGTGTTCTATTTTTTGTCATAGGGTGCTGTGCTTTTTTGAGATTACGGCCTCTAATACTGCAGCCACAGGCCCCTAATCTGCCATGGGCCCGACTATTCCGCCTCTCTCATGCTGCTGAGCCCGATAAGTCTGCAGAGTGTCCTCTCATGGGTCCCCTGTACGGCCGTCCATTTTGCGTGCCTGTCTCCTCATCGCCACTACTCTGCCAAGTGCCACTTTCAGGGGGGTCTCCTCACATACCTGCTAAGGTGTGGTTCATTTTTTTGTTCATCGCGGTGCTGACAGGTATACGGGGCCTCCCATGAAGTGGCTGCCATGCCAAGCCTGTAATCCACTGCCATGGCCCCTATATTACACCGCCTCCGTCATGCTGCTTAGCCAAGGGTCCCACTGAGTGCTCGTCATGGTCCCTGTAGCGGCCACCTCAGCCATTGCTGTGTCCCATCGCCACAACTCTGCAATGTTTCCACTTTTGATGTCCTCCTCACACCTACTGCTGGTTGGCATTTTTTTGTCATAGGGACTGGAAGAAACCGTCAGTGAAGGCCTCCCATAGCTGCTGTCCAAGTGCCCCTAATCTGCATGGTCCCCCGTAACCGACTCCTCATGCTGCTGCGTGCCAAGAGGCGCTTGTAAGTGACAGAGAACTTGGAGCTTCTTTCCTCGCTTTTGACGAATTCCGTCTGCCGTCATAATATGCTCCTAATGCGCGGCTGCTTATTCCTCTTCGATGATTGGCCCTATATGGACACATTCCCCCATTCAGTAACATCCGGTTCCTATCAGACAACGGAGTATACATCAGACACCGACATGCCAGTACGATTGTTGTTTTTTTTGTTCTCCATGTGGTCTCCGATCTATTGTCATCCTAAAAACTCGAAATCTGTCAATGCGCATCTGTAATGACATGCCTCCCATAGGTCGCTGCCAGGCACAGCTCACAACACTAGATGCCAATGGAGCACCCCAGTACCAACTCCGCATAGCTGCCTGGACTGCACTAACCTGTCACTGACCTGACATTTCAGGTCGCCCCACTGCTGCCAGTACTAGTGGTGTCTGGTCCCTTGTACTGTCTCCATGATCTACCCGCTTCCATGTCGGGTCATCTGCCTACTGGTCCCGACCGACTCCTCATCTGTCGTGCAGCCATGTGTACACTAATCGCCTTGCAGGGCCCCTGTACCGCTCCTACATGCTCGCTGCTGGTTTCCAAGATTGGTCTAGGTTGCAATGTCATGGCCTGGCCCATTTGCTCGGGCTTGCTATCGGCGAGACATAATCTCTGGCTCATCGGTCCGGGATTCAGCTCCTCACCTATGGGTTGGGGGGGGGGGGGGGGTGGGGGGGGGGGGGGGGGGGGGGTGGTGGGGGGGGGGGGGGGGGGTGGGGGTTCCTCCCCTGTGGCGGGGGCTGCTGCCAGCACCACCAGCCACACTGTCGCTCCACGAGCACTTGTTGGTTGTGGGCCCCGCGTAAACTGGCCTAATGAGTGAAGTAGTGCGGGATTCTATGAGCCACGCTCGCATTCTGCTGTCCATTCGACTCGACAGTATTATTCTCTTCCCGCACAGACTCCAAGGGCTATTTAAATTAATGTACAGGTTCACAACTAATAATAATCTCTCTGAAGCCTAAAAAAAACACCCTTTTTAAGTTAAATTTCACAGGAATTGTTCGACTCCCAATTTAAAATTTTTTTTTAACGATTGCCCCCCGAATCGTTTGAATCGGGAATTTTTTGAATACTTCGCTTTTCCCCTCTCTAGAAAAAAAACCCTTTTTTATCATTTTAAAAACTAAAATGATATTTTGTTCTTTCTTGGGACATTGGGAACCCTTCTTTTAAAACCCCTTTTAATTTTACCCCCTTTTCCCGCCCCCGGCCAATTTTTCCCTCTTTCAGCTCCCCTCACAATTTTTTTTGACAATTGCGCGGTCATGGCAACGGGTTTACTTTAAACTAAAAATTTTTATCTTTTTTTTCACACAAAATAGGGCTTTTTTTTTTGGTTTTATTTAAGGGACCCGCTGGGGTTTTTTATTTTTTGTAAAGTAACAAAAAATATTTGGGGAAAAAAAAAAATGTTTTTCTCTGTTTTGTTATAAAAATTTTTCCAAAAAAATTTTGTTTAAAAAAATTTAGGCCAAAATTTTTTTCCCCATTTTTCAATATTCTACTAATTTTTTTTGGTGGGGAAAAAAAATCCAAATTTTTTTTTTTTTAATTTTAATTTTGTGGGGAAAAGGGGGTTTTATAGTTCACAAAAATTTTGGTTTTATATCTGAAAAAAGATCAATCCCTTTAAATACTGATGGCCAATTTTAAAAATTTTTTGAGGCCCACAAAAAGTCGGACAGTACAGGGTTTTCCCCCCAAAATTTGACTTTAAAATTTATATTTATTAGGGTTTTTTGGGTTAAAAAAGAACTCGGGGAAAAAAAACAAAAAAAAAAACCCATTTTGTTCCCTCATCTACACAAAATTTCTAAAAACCCTTTTAAAACAATTTTGATAATCCTTACCATTTAGGAGAAAAAATTAAATTTTAATTTTTTTTTTACCTCAAATTCTTTTAATTTTAAAAAAAACAGGGATCTGCTCTTTCCCCAAAGGGGAGGTTTT